CGACCCTGCCCGCAGAGATGACCTGCTTATCTCTGCTGCCCGTGAGCAATCACCCAACTCATCTCTGCACTGGACTCCATCGATGGTTTCCTCCTGGTCCGCACTGCCCTCTACGGCCGCGCAGCGTACTAGCGGCGGGAGCAGCGCGGAGTTCGAATCGCTCGAGGGGCAGAATGGATTTACTAAAGAAAATAAATATTTATAAACAAAAACAATTAATGAAAATTATTTCAGTATTATTGAGGAGCGTGCCTAACTCACCTTACGTAGTTTTTGTTAAATAATAATTTGCAGAATTTTATTAAAGAATATAATAGAACATGCTCTTCCCGCGAACATGATTCTTCCCGCGTACGCGAGACCGTTCGGCGCTAGCTGATTAACTAGGCCTACCCAAGATGTCAGGGCCCGTCTCGCGGCGCGCTAAGTACAGTCTCGACTCTCGAAAACCGCCAATTTCGCGATAGATAAACGTCCCCCTGGAAAATCCTCCTCGACGCAGCCTACTTATCATTACTTAGCACTAAGGTTACATAATAGACACGCTACTTACGATTAATGATTGTTCCTGGACACCCCGAGCGTCGCCACCTGATACTGTAAATAATTTACTAATGGTTTCGGTACTTACCGTCCTCACTCTGCATCGACTTGTGACGGCCACGTTACAGTACATACTGCAATTAGAAGTTCAACAATATAACTTTAGTATCATGTCATGTAAGCATATATTATTTAACAGATTTAAATGTTTAAGAATGTAATATAACCTCGGAATAACAAAAACTGACCTGCACGTACTAGTAAATTTTCTTTTCACTAATGAAAATGGGTCTGAGGCATCACGTAATTCTCTTCTTCTCCTATATTAACGATATTATTACGTCCCCGAATACGATGGTTGTCAAAAATCAAAACACCCAGGAGGCTTTCCATTTTAAATTTCGGTGTCGTCATCCGTGGAAGATGGCGTTCACAGTGTTTATTTTTCTATCTTTTCTTATATGCTTCACCATTTCGCTTAAAAATTTGTGTGGAGCCAGTTCACATGAATAGTCTCGCATTTTCACCACCAAAAACGTTTCGTAATACTGCCAACTACTCATTTTTCACATTTTCGCTCAATTTGCTTTACGTAATATCATGGACGTAGACATATTTGGACGAAGCCCAAGCAGAGATGAGTTGGGAGATTGCTCACGGGCAGGGTCGCGCGATCGCATCGTGTGCTGCCCTCTGGTTTCGTACGTTAGCTTTCACCGTTTTTTGCCCCCAAGGGCGGCGCAACGACTTTCTGGTACGGGCTCGCGCACTCGCGATGGCTGTGCCATCTACCAGTTGCCGTTGGCGGCTCACGTATTCGTGATGGTAATACCACGCGGCAGTTGACGGTGGTGGCTTACCATTATGGCAATCTCCCAACTCATCTCTGCCAAATCAGAGATGAATTGAGAGATTCACGGGAAGGATCGAGCGACCGCGTCCTGTGCGACCTCCGATGGAGGATGCAGACGGCTAATGCACTTGCCACCTGTTGCAACTCTGGGCAGCCCGAGAACCGGCTATGTTATGATTTGTTTGAATGACCGCGAGTGGACGGGGAGTGACCTCTCGCCGACTGGCGAGTGGCCCCGTGAACTTTGTTTATTTCTTGTGTGTTGATTTAGACTAGGAATAGCCTTCTCCTGGGTCCGCAGTAGAATACGTTTCGCGTTTCTTTATCATGCGCCGGGAAGTCGGACGACCCTTCGACTTCGGGGCCATCGGTTTAGCGATATTTTTTCGGATGATTTTCAAAAGACTTGGGAGGAGGATCTCGCGAGGAGCCGACCTCGAGTCGAGGTGGCATTTTGATGTGCCTGCGGATCGATTTAGAGTCGCCGCCTCGACGAGGGGAACGTTTCCGGATTTTCAGCTGTTTTTGGCCAAGTCTTCCGTTACCCTGGGGCCGTAGTGCGTGCTGGGCTTGGCCTTCCTTTTTTGGAGAAATTATGAAATATCGATATCGAGTAGAGTCAGTAGCTTGTTTCAACGATGTATAAATTAATCAGCTTAGGATTTTTTCACCCTCTACGACGGTAGGTGCCTTTTCTTGTGGCCGCGTTCTTTGCTGGCCTCCACCCTTCGTCTCCTCCAGAAGCGAGTCGATCGGGTCGGGGCCAGGAGACGTGGTAAACCGAAACTTCGCGAATCCCTTCGATTACCATCCGCGATTCGATTCTGTGAACAAGTTTAATTTTTCTTTCATTCAACTGGCGATGGCAATCGGAACGTATGAGTGTGAGAACTGAGCTCGGGGGTCGGAGGCACCCCGGGGTGCTGTCCCTAGGATTAGGCTTTTTGTCCCCGGGCGGAATGAGAGAGAACCGTGGAGTGAGTGTGTTGGAACGAATGTGTTTTTTCTTTTAGATATAGCTAGGAAGGTAGGTCAGTTGTCTTGAGTGAATGTTTAGATGTACGCAGGCAGGGCCAGGGCGGGATCTCTTCCTGGGGGTTTGGGAGGAGATCCTGAACCTGGGATAATTTTCCATTGTCCGCGCTTCCGGAAGCGCGGAGGATGTCCACCCTGTGATATATCCGCGATTGTATCAATTTTTTTTCAGCAATAAAATTAATTAGACCGCGCTTGGGAATCGAATAAATGTGCAATACGCTCGAACTGCGCATCCTCGGATCGCAGGTCGTCGTTTTGCTAGCTTTTAGATCTCCCCGCGAGTGATTTTTTTTTTTGTTATTAATCCGATAAATCAGGGGATTGCCAAGCGTTCGAGACGTAGGGGGCTCTGCCCGAAGAGACTGCAAGAGTCGAAGAGGCTATATGCCGAAGCGGCCCCTTAAGAAGAGGGCAACTACGATGGCCTTCCGTTCTTTCGAATGGACAGTCATCCATTTTTTTTCGCCACGTTGTCCCTCTCATTTTTTGTATATCCTTCTGTCTGGATTGACGGGGAGAGACGGTGAACTATCGTTTTCATGAGATTTTCTCGAGTCTGCATTTAAGTAAGATAAATATATTAGATTTCCATCACGCAAAGTAATGTATAATCGAATACATTTTTACTGGGTCAATTATACGAGATCGATGCACTGCGAAATATTCTTGACTTTAATGGTAACTTTAGTAAGTTAGTAGCTCTTCTATCACCTCTGTTGTCTCTTTCTCGCTTTCCAATGGTTTCGTTTGTAAGTTCGTGTTCCCTTTGCAGGTTTAGGTGGATCACCTGGAAGCAGCCATTCTTGGTAAAATCATCATGGGCAGTTAATCGAAATCGAGCTTGCTGCACTTGTTGGTAGAAGATGTTAAAATATGTTAAAGGACGTTTGTGAATTTTTTTTTGCGATGCGAACTGCGTCCACGGTAGGTTGATGGGGAAGGTTGTTCCGTTTAAATTGATCTCTCGAGCTTGTGGCTGCGATTTTTTTCGGAGGAGACACAGGGTTTGGAGTTTTTGTAAGGAGTTCACCACTTTGGAGTTGATCTCTCGAGCTTGTGGCTGCGCTTTTTTTCGGAGGAGACACAGGGTTTGGAGTTTTTGTGAGGAGTTCATCACTTTGTTAGCTTGATGGGGAAAGATGTTCTGCTTAAATTGATCTCTCGAGCTAGTGGCTGCGATTTTTTTCGGAGGAGATACAGGGTTTTGGAGTTTTTGTGAGGAGTTCTTCGCTTTTTCAGCCGGTTCTCGGGTTGCCCAGATTTGTAATAGGTGGCAAGTGCATTAGCCGTCTGCATCCTCCACCGGAGTTCGCACAGGGTGCGGTCGCTCGATCCTTCCCGTGAATCTCTCAACTCATTTCTGATTTGGCAGAGATGAGTTCGGAGATTGCCATAATGGTAAGCCACCACCGTGAACTGCCACGTGGTATTACCATCACGAATACGTGAGCCGCCAATGGTAACTGGTAGATGGCACAGCCATCGCGAGTGCACGAGCCCGTACCAGAAATTCGTTGCGCCGCCCTTGGGGGCAAAGAACGGTGAAAGCTAACGTGCGAAACCAGAGGGCAGCACACGATGCGATCGCGCTACCCTGCCCGTGAGCAATCTCCCAACTCATCTCTGCTTGGGCTTCGTCCAAATATGTCTACGTGCATGATATTACGTAAAGCAAATTGAGCGAAAATGTGAAAAATGAATAGCTCACGGTATTACAGAACGTTTTAGTGATGAAAATGTAAGACCATTCATATGAACTGCCTTGGCACACATTTTTAAGCGAGATGGTGAAGCATATAAGAAAAGATAGAAAAATAAGCGCCGTGAACGCCATCTTCCACGGATTGTGACACTGAAATTCAAAATGGAAAACCTCCTGGGTGTTTTGATTTTTAGCAACAATCGTATGCGGGACGTAATAATAACCTTAATAGAAGAAGAAGTGAATTACGTGATGCCTCAGATCTATTTTCGTTAGATTTTCGTTAGTGAATTTACTAGGATGTACAGGTTAATTTTTGTTATTGCAAGGTTATATTACATTATTAAACATTGAAAACTGTTAAATAATTCATGCTTACATGGCATGATAAAAAAATTATATAGTTCAACTTCTAATTGTAGTACATGTAAATATGAATGTAATACATATTTAAAAAATATAGATAGACTCGAGTCCTCTTCTTTACTTTTAACAGCTTTCCATCTTCCCGCCTTTCCTGCCTATAACCCACTACCTCTTAACAATTTTCGATTTACAAGGTATGTATGTACCTTTGTTTGCAATATTACTATACCGAAATGCTAATGATCTCGTTCTTTCATATAGCGAATTCGTAATTCCGCGATTAAATCCACGTGAGATGTTAGTGCAAGAAGTGAGTGCTTTTTTCAAAAACACGTAATAAACGCCCTGATTTTTGCTACTCTCTGAATCGCGACGGTGGCAACACAGCGCCGGCCATGTATTCTAATGTTCATAGATTGGCCAACCTGTCGGGTAGTCTGAGATCCGAGCCGCGATAGGAGGAAGCATTCATCTATACGTTTGTCGTCCATCTAAAGAAGCCCCGTTGCACGTCGGGAAACGAAACATGTACGTACGTCGTACAACAGGCATAAAAAATTGAGTGCCGATTGGTTTTAGGTGGCCGTCGCGGTCGCGTCTTGCTGAGTGTGAAGCGAGGGCGCGTGTTCCTTGGGCAGAGTAAGGAGTGCCCGTGGAGGAGATTCACCGACTAGGCGAGGACGGCTGAGGCGAAGCAAGGAGGACGTCCTTCCTCCTGGGACGCTCGCCAATTCGGACAGAGCTTTGGGAGCAGGAGTCCGAGGAATCCTTTACGACCGACGAGAGGTGCATCGGTTCTTTGGTGCGTCCAGTCTTCGTTATTCCGCTTTAGGGCTCAGACGCACTCCGGTGGTCTCGATAGCTTCGACAGGACCACGGCTTACGAGGAGTGCAAGGCAAGATCCTGCTTTCCCGCGAAACCGCCTCTCGCCCCCCTGGCCGTTTTCGTGGAGTGTGGTCTTGCTCCAGGGGAAGCCGGCACATCAGCAAAAATCAAATTTCTCAGTGCATCGTAAAAGACTCGATGAGAAACCTCGATCGTTCCGTGTTGACAACGCCAGGTTGAGCAATGCAACATTCTGGGAGTCAGGGTTAGTGTGTTTCTTGCGTTTACTTGCCAGGGCATAGTGACCAAACTGTGAGGATTGTGTTGAGGTTGGTGCGAGGAGCAACAGTTGATAGTTTTAGAAATGTCAACATAAGAATCATCTGTGTTTTATAGCATATACGAGCTGAACAAAATTTTGAGTGAATCGGAAATTACGATGAATAATTGAACTAGATGCAAGAGTTTAGGGCATGGTGAATAGAGTACAAGGATGATGCGATAAGTGTTGAATGAGATGCAACGACGATTAGCTTTGAAGATGACAACGTCGAGGTGCCAAGTGTTATAAAGCACAGAATTAGCAGCGCATCGATACCATTGACTATCGGTTGACGAGACTGGATTTCTTCATGGAGGGAAATAATGATTAAATTGTGTTGTCATACTTTTTTTTTTTTAAATTAAGAATCAAAGATTTATATGAATTACTTTCAAGATAAGGAAATTGCAAAAAGATTACTTGTTAATCAAGTATTGATTTTATATGTACAATTGTATAGTCAATTTTCTCATTTATTACGGAGTCTAAATATTTTACATTGCATTTTCAATATATTTTCATAGTACGATGGTGAAGTGAAGAAGACTCACTCGTTTAAGGAATCAATAATGGGTATTGGATAGCTTTCTGGTTTTATTGATAATGAAAAATGTATAACTGGTTAATATTTTAGATACCAACATATGAACAAGATAAAGGTTCTCCTTGCTTAATTTATAAGGGGTAAACGCGCTTTTATATGTAAGCCTGACTAAGAACCTAGTCAAGATGTGTGAACAAACAGAAATCAACTATTTGGACGGGGATATTGTTTGGGTTAAGCTCAGTGGTTGTTGGTGGCCCGGTCAAGTCACCAGCCTTAATAATTTATCCGAAGACATTCGGTCGGAGTTTAGAAAGAAACCATTGATAGCAGTCGTCAAGTTCTTTCAAGAGGATACATAGTAAGCAATAAAATGTTAAATATATTTCATTATGTTCTATATCTTGATTAATAAATACTAATTGATTTATTAAACATTTCAGTGAATTTGTCAAGAATTATCAACAGATTTACAAATATAATTGTACGCTGAAAGATGATTTCATAAAAAAAGGCCTAGGTATACTTAATTTATATTTTAAAATAAGAAAATATTGTAGTAATGGATTATAGCTGCAGCAAGTTTAAAGATTTGAGTAATATATGTTTAAATTTCTATTACTTTTTTCAGATAAATACAGAACTAAGAGCAAAGATGGCTCAACATATATGAACAAATTTCCTGGAGATGTGGAAATGGCTGAAAAATTAACTGGAGGAGACCCAGACATTTTACGCAGCGAAAGATTCAGTCCTGAGGAGAAACCTGATATTTCTGCTCTTTTTGGCGAAAAGAAACTACCTAAGAAAAAACGAGATACCGATGGCAATCATAGACGTAGTGACGGCGGTGAAATGCAAAGAAAAATAACGCACCCTCGATTCTTACGGGAAAGTGATCATGAAATTCGAATTCGTCAACAACCAAGCAGTCTACCATCGACTCCTAATAATAGTTCCCCACTTTATCCTTGTCATCTATGTAGTTTCACATCTTCTCGAGTGAACGTTATAATTTGTCATATAAAGAGTCATAGATCAGGCAATTCACCAGTGGCAAGGACGAAAGTGAAGACTTACTCGCAGTCGAGAACCAAAGTTTCTGATTTAGATACACCAAAAAGGAAAAATGTTAAAAAAGAGAAGTCGTATTCACATAAGAATAGGAGTGAAGGAAATTCGGAGCCAAGGAAAAGAAAACCAGTGAAGCAAGTTGATAAGTCTAGTAAGAAGAAGAAGACTGATCCGGAAATTCGTGAGAAATTGTTGGCTGATTGGGATGATGGATCTGATGAGGATGCAGGTTTAGATGACACAAAACCATTGTTATACGACTCAACGTACGGGAATCCTCCTGCAAAGTACAGAGCTAACGTAGATGATTTGGACGATAGTTCTATGAACAAGGATAAAGATATCGAAGATAGCATTGATATAATTCAAGGTGCAGAGCGATTACTCAGAGAAACTGAACAATTATCAGCTCTCCACGCGATGGAAAACTCACTATCTGGAAAAGCTCGTAGTTCCAGTAACAAATTATTGGACCAGTCTGATAATAAATTCGACTCAAGCACTGAATTGTTACCAAGAAAAAATATATCATTACGAGTTAATGATGAGAAACAAACGACGAATGACAGAAAAAAAGAGGAAAATCAAAAAGACCAGAAAATGTCACACGATAAGGATGACAAGAAGTCAAAATTATCTTGCTTTGATTTTGATGAAGATGATTTGCCCGAACCGGCATTACCACCTGTTCGAAAGATCCCTAGACTCTTTGGTGAAAAGAACTTGAAGAAGGAAATTATCAAGGAATTTGAAATGAGTCAGGCGTTAAAAAATGAGCAGGAAAAGGAAACGTTAACCGAAAGAGAAAGGAATCTGAGGAATGAAATGGTTATTGAGGTAGTATTAGGCACAGAAGCTAAGAAATTTGATGTTAAGAATAAAGAAAGCGACAATACCTCACAAATAGCTAAAATTGATGGTGACGATATTAAGATTACTGATAAAATTGAAGAAACCATTTCTTTAACAAATGAAGAAACGCAGAAATCCAATGCCAATATTTGCGAAACAGAGGTAGAGATTGTAGAAATATTCGAAGTTGAAAGAGAGGAAGAAGCTGAGGTGGAACGTAGTATAAGTGATACTAAGGATTCTGAAAAAGAAATTTCAACTAAAACAGTACAGGAGTTAAACGATACGGTTATTCAAAAGTTTACGGACAAACCCATTGAAGCTCAACCCGAAAACTCTACACCCAAACAAACGAAAACAGTGGACAGTATTCTACAAGAGACTATTTCAGAGCCTGTATTAATGGACAGCGAAGAACTTTTCGAAAAGGAACCATTTTCTGACAAGATTGAAATTGAGACTGAAGATGAAACAGTTTCTGAGTCGGCTGAAACCGTGCTCGGTCACAGTGAGAATTCTGACACTGATGGAACCCTGCCTAGAGCTGGAATGAGCCAATCAGGTGATACTGATGTAGACAATGCTTCAATTGTGAGTACTGAAACGAAAAGTAAGGAAGGTTCGTTGGCAGAAGTAGAGGATGAGACGGAAAAAAGAACTGTTAAAAGGCGTCGTGGCAGACCAAAGAAGTCAATCGATAATAGACTCATCGAAAATCGAGACATTTCTTCGAAAAGATCATTGGAATTGAATAAAAGTCTTGAGGTCTTAGAAAAATCCGAGAGAGTAACTTCCGAATCGGATACGGAACGTTCACTGAGTGGTAGAAGAAGAAAGCCTAATAAGAAGTATTTGGAGTCTGACATCTATATGCACGATCAGAAAGCAGCATACAAAACTGATGAGAGCCAGTCAGAGACCGATGATAAATCTCAAAAAGGTGAGGAGACTCCCAAGCCATCGAGAGGTAAGCTTCGAAGAGGTAAAAGATCATATGGCTTCAGAAAGAAATCTGCAGCCTTAAAAGAGGAAATTGGTGACTATTTTGAGTCTCAAGATAAGTCATTGGGAGGTACCGATGAAACATCTAGCATGTCGACAGGGGAAGAAAAGTACTATGATGAAGAGACTAAATCTTCTAGTACAAAAGTTTCTCTAGAACGCGATAAAAAACAGTCTGATATAGCTATTCCAGAATCGCCAATGGGTCGGGTAGAAACGTTTCAGGGGATAACGAAACTGTCATCAGTTTATAATGAGGTGGTAAACGAAGTTAAACTTGAAACCAAAACTAGTATACCTGAAGGGCAACCTATTACTGAAAAGGAAATTAAAGAAGGAGAACAGGAAAGAAACGATTTGAAAACTAACGAACGAGTTGAGAATAATACAGAGGAAAATGAACCCTTTCGGCAATTAGAAGTAATAAAGACCTCTGTAGATATGCTTCCTCCAAAGAAGTCTCAGATTAAGAAATTTGAACTTTCACAGCTTGATTTCTTCGACAATGACCCTCCAAACAAGAATGCTTTGCAACCTGCTGCAGAGAGTAGAATTGATAATTTAGCGGGTATTGAAATAGAAATTACCAGAGTTGATCCAAACGAAGGTATGTTGGATACACTGATGGCAACACACAATAAAAGTAAAGAGACTGCTATGGAACCTGATGCGATTACCAAAAGTTTAGAGGAACAACTTAGAATTGAAGAAGTAATAGGGTTTGCTACGCCCGAAGAAAAATCTGCAGTCCAAGCAGAAGTTACTATGGATGTAGAATCAGAAACTAGTGTACAAATTGAAGTACCTGTACACGAAAAAGTTGAAGTTCCTCCTTCCGTGGAAGAACTAGCGAAAGATATAGTAAATAGCGAAATTGAAGTTGAAGCTTCTCTGAAAAAATCTGAAGAAGCTGCGAATGAACCCTCTCAAAAAAGTGCAACTTTAAAAATAAAACAGAAGGGAAAGTTTCTCACTGAGGCTGAATTGAAGAAAGATCAGGATGGCAATTCTCAAGAAAAACCAATTAATACATTCCAAGAAGCTTTTCTGAAAACATTACAAATGGATAAGCGAGGTAAGAAAGCAGGTACGGAAAATGCAGAATCGGTAACTGGTCGGGGAAAAAATAAGAAAGTCGTAATGCAGCAGTTAACTGATGGAATGGATAATGCTAACATTACAGGGCAAACAGAAGATACTACAGAGGGTGTGGAAATAGAGAAATTGGGTAAGGGTATTATTATAACCGAAACTGCGAGCGAGGACCAACGCACCGTCACGGAAATCGCTGGCATGACTGAATTTGAAGGAGTTGAGGTAGTTGTAGAAGAGAACATAGCGGTAGAGACGAAGCTAGATAACACCGTTTTTCAAGATTCTGCACAAATGACCCAAGATGTTGGAATCGTTTTGCAAAAACAAGATCAGATGCCTGAGGTGGATGAACGCTTTAAACCATTGACGTTGGAAAAACTGGACGAGACTTCAAGACTGTCAATGTCAACACCATCCCCGACGTCTGAAATCGGAGTACCTGTTAAAAAACGGGAAAAACCAAGAATAATAGAAAATGTCACTTTAAAAGAACCGATGCAGATCTTGAAGACAAAACTGTTAGAGAAATTGCCTCCGAAAGGTACAAAACACAAGCTGGAGAGTGAAACTCTAAAAAAGGGAGATTCTAAAGGTAGTTCGAGAGCCAAAGTTATGAAGTTGGACTCTACATCGCCGAACAGTAAGCCAAAAACACCCTTAAAAAGCTCTGGTAATATGTCTTTGACGCAGAAGTTACAAGCACTGAAAGCAGAAGAGGCAGCTACGGCAGCTGCTATGGAGGTTCAGAATGAGAAGGTAATTCCTCAAACTGGACGGACCATCTCAGCGGTTCCAATACCCACTTTAACGGAGAAGTATATTCAGCAGAGTTCACAGAGTCTAGCAGACATGGACTTGGACATTAACTCCATGCCCTTTGTCCTCAGTGAAGATGTTCTCACTCCAGAAAGCATAGAGCAGATGCCCGTAGTGATACCAGGTCACATCATACCAACAGCAAGCACTATTACTACCCCTTTGACATTGACTCCTGCGAGTCAAATAGTCGCAACTAATCAGTCTCAATTTAAAGTCAGTGATAGTTCTTCTGATCCACATCCTACGCCATCCAAAAAGAAAAGCGGCACTCCCACGATTCTGAAAAATAAAGGTAAAGCAAAGCCAACCATTACCAGTATTAAGACATTGGTGCCTCCGTTGACAGGTGGAGTGAAGGGATTGAAGTTCCAAAATACTCAAGCAGGGAAAAGCTCGCCTCTTTTATCACAGAAAGGAAATCCTGGCAAGTATGTTATCGTTCAGACTGCAGGAGGTCAACAGTTGCGATACAGTGTTCAGGGAAAACCAGGAACGCAGCAGAAAATAGCGATACCAGCAGGGAAGGGAACGCCAGGCAGTGCTCAGATAGTTCATCAGGGTGGCAAGGTAGTCATCCTAACATCTGCGCAGTCTGGTCAGACCAAGATGTTGCCCTTGAATATTTCCAAGTCGTTAAGTGGTAAAGTTCAGAGAGTGATGACGAGCAAAGGACAGATATTCTCACCTATAAGTCCTCAGGGGCTAGTGCAATCGAAAACGGTAATAGCGCCAAAAACCGAAGGATCTGCGTCAGCGACCACTTCCAAGGTTGCTTCGAGCCAAAAAATCATTAATGCCCAAGGTATAATTACTTCTAAGGGTGTACTGACTCCGATCCAGGGAACCATAAGTAAGTCAGCTCTGCTAAGCTCGCTGTCTCAGGGTCTCCTGACCAAAAGTGGATTGTACACACCGATAAGTGCCTCACCCTTAGCTGGGAAGACTATCATAGGATCGAAGACCTTGGTTACTAAAGGGACAACTATATTATCCCCATTGGCCACCCAGAATCTGGTAACATCTAAGGCTATTCTTACACCCATTTCACAGGCCATTACGGGAAAGACTATACTCAGCACTCAAGGTATAGTCAGCTCTAAAGGAACCGTTCTCACCCCTATTACAGGACAACAAGTCAAAGCGATCGCAGCAAAAAGTCCTAGTAAAGGAGGAAAAATCCAGTACCAGACAGTGCAACAGAAAATGCAGTTACCGATGTTGCAGAAGTGCCAGAAAATACCGATTTCTTCGTCTCAGGTGAGAGTTACAGGGACGACGGTCAAGTCACCTCAAGGAGGTACCATAGTTTTTCAAAATACGGTGCCAGGTCAAAAGACCATTCTTCAAGGCAAAAAAGCTACAAAGCATACCCTAACTCAACAGACAGTCGCCGTAGCGAGCTTATCTCCGCAAGTTGGAGTTCAACAGGCAGCCAGTTCCATTCCTCAAGGTCAACTAAAAAGCAAGGTCCTTTCGACAACTTCTGCTGTTCAGAAGGTGGTATTATCCAAAGGTTCAGGACGTCAACAGAAGGCTCAACAAAAGATCGTCGTACAGAAAATGCACCAGGAGTCAGTACCGTCCAGTCCACATACCGTTCAGACTAAACCTGCAGGGAACGTCGCTTCCCTGAATGTCTGTCCAGTGACCAAACCAGGTGCTCAGCATCGACAGTTGACAAGTAATAGTACAAAGTTACAGAAAGGCGGTAAGAACGTACAACAGCAGAAAACTCTTATGAATATGGCCTTGAATACTGTGGCGACCACCCCCATGATTGCCAACTTAGGATCTCAGTTACCTTTGCCCCCTTTGGAGCCCATCGAACCTGAGAAGAAGGCTGAGATCTTTGAGGATGTTGTTCCTAAGGAAGAATTCAAACCTGAGACGCATCTCGTGGAAACGTCCAATGAAGCGAACTCGGAAAAGATAGATGAGCCTAAAGTGACCGCACAGCCCCAAATTATGGCATTGCCTACGGAGAGCAGTGATGGGACCCAGACCTATGTTCTTGTTACTATAGACGATCAAGGTCAAATACAACCCCTGGACAATAACACCTTGATGTCCTTAGAAGGTACCACGCAAAATCCCGACGGTACTCGAACACTTTACATCGACCCCAGTTCATTAGGAGAAACTGGTGGCATTGACAATATTGTATTACAATTTGACAATGGTTGTATGTCCAATATGCAATCCAGTGTGGGCGAGAACCCGTCCGCCGTCATCACTGAGAGTTTCCCGACTCCGGAGGTAATACATACCTCGAATCAGGACATCCTGGCTGCTGCTCTAGCAAACACGGATTTCCAACAGGAAATCGGATTACCTGAAAACTCAACAGCCAGCGTTATGAGCACCGGACTCACGCAGACCAATTTAATTAATCAGACCATCCTGCAGTCAACCATCATTCCTCCTACAGAGCCGATTTCCTCACCCTCGGTGCTGGAGACTTCGTTGACTTTGAACCAGCCGATTATGACTCCTTTAGAGGTACCAACCAGCCTCCCTATCCAAGAACCTACGAGAACTTCGGTGGTACCGACAATTCCGTCTTCACTGGAGCTTCCCATTACCATCGCCAGCTCCACAATATCGTATATTTCTGCAAGTGAAGCGCAGATCCAGATTCCTGGAAATTCAATGCCCGACATTGGCGAGATCATGGAGAGTCCAACCTCAGAGGTGACCCAGGCGGAAATTCCGGCCAGTACGCAGTACCTGGTAATACCAAACCTTGAGGAGAACATAACCATTGAAACACAGGATATTAGGACATCTACCGAGTCTGTACCTAGTGTATCTTATGCCGTCTCTATCCCTGAAAGTATCGTTCTGGAGGGCTCTCAGGTGCAAACAACTCCTTCCATGCCGATCATTGACGACACCTTCACAGAAGAGACCCAATTCTCCGCTCAAATGAAACCTGAGATGAGTAGCGACCAGAGCTTTGTGGATGTCTCCGTTTCAGAAATGCTCGTTTCCAAAGTTTCGACGAATTCGACGGAGAGTAATGCTATTTTGGAAATGACCGTTAATCACGAGGCACCGACGTCCTCCCAGAAGACCCTAGAAATTTCGGAGAAGATAGCAGAAGTGGTGAACAAAGTGCAGGAGATCCAGCAGGTATGTCGAAGTTGAATCGTGACGTCTTACTGCTTTAAATCCAAAGTAGTTTTACAATGTATAATATTTATGTTGATTAGTAATGTATGTATTTTAACATTTTTCTACTATTTAAGGTGATGTGAAGCCCATCGAGAAACTTAATCGTTTTCAATAAAATGAAATTCTGTTGATATATCATCTGAAATAGCACTTCATGTAACCGACATTTGTATTGGCATCGATAGCTGTGTCATGTTCCATTCAGTATTGTGCAGAATGGCAGATTCCATATATCATTTCAGTAGAGTATAATTATAATGAGATTGAAGCATAATTCAAGAAATCCCTTCGATTCATGATTATAGTAAGACGCCATACTACAACATCGGTTGGATTCAAAGAGCTCGTATACAACACGTGTTACATTCATCATACAAGGAGAGGACCAGGTAGAGTTGTCTCAGCTTTTGCACTTTGTTTTTTGTAGTCCTCAATGTATAAAACTATTTGCCAAAGGAATAACGTGCACCTCACGAATGTTCAAGAAATAATCGTTTAAATAATTAGTATGTACCTCATATGGACATGGGTTATGGCAACTCTAGAAGCAGTTAATAGCTTAGTGCACAAGGTTTTAGAACGCCGGTGGTTCACTTCTTTTTTTTCGTATATAATGAGAGTTTACTGTTTTTTTTTCATGTCATTTTATTTTTATTTTTAGTTTTCATGAAATTGCATGCCCACGTAAACAGAAATAGGAATAATTAAAAATTCCTCATAATCAACAGGAAAGGTGTACAAAATTACATTTGTCACGCTACATTACTTTTAAAATTACATTATTACAATATAATATCATTACAAAACATTTTTATTATTCTTATATATTAATCGTTGTTAAAATCTACTTTATTTCAACAGATATTAGGGTGATATTCGCCACATTGTATGTAAATGTCATTCTATTTACATGGGTATGCAATTTCATGAAAGATAAACATTAACAAATGACATGAAAAAAGACAACTGCAATTACATACGAATTTTAAAAAAGTGTACCAACTGGGGATCTAACTAGCACCACGGTAATCCCAGACCTAGTGCCTTGTCCACTAGGCTATTAATCGCTTCGAGAGTTGCTTTAACTCATGCTCTTACGAGATTTATACTAAATATTTAACGATTCTTTCTTGAAAATTCTTGAGATCCGCGCTATCTCTTTGGCAAATAGTTTTATACATTGAGGACTACAAAGTAATAAAGTACTGCGAAAATATGAAACGACCATACCTGGTTCTTTTCTTGTTAGCACAGAACTTCACAACATGCTCCTCTTGTTTTTATCGCGGTTAAATGCGCGCTTCTCCATTACTAAATTTATTCTGAAGTGTTGTACGATGGTCCTGAGACTTTCATTTCTGTCATTAGAGCCTTCAACGATTATATATTTATGAAAATATAAGAACATGACGTCATTTTGGTTCTGGTCTAGGCTAAGTCAACAAAGTTTGTTTTGAAAATCGAAATTTTGAACGTGTCACGATATTTCTTAGGTGCTCACGAGGCATGGACTGAATCTTCGGACATTTTAAGGGAATATCTTTATATAAAAATTGCCTTTTTTAAATAAACTTACTTGAGACGGATTTCATTTCATCTTAAGGTGACATGAAACCGACCCCTGAAGCGTTAAAATATTTATAAAACATCTCCTAACTGGGTGCACGAATCATCTGTAACTTTACCACGTGATTATGAAAGCCGTAAGGAAGAACGTGACACTCATGAAATTTCATTTTTTAGAACGTTTTTTTAAATTTATCCTAGACCAAAATCAAGATCACATATATCTGATATTTTTTACGCCCTCTGCAAGCTTAGAATCGAAAACGGAGACTTCCTAGGCATAACAATTTAGAGTATTATCGTAACTGAACTTACAGATTCGTATGAAAAATATTAACCTTTTGCACTCCGCTGTCCCATCTGAAGGGACATTTTAAGTCTAAATAGGATGGCGCGGAGTGCAAAGGGTTAAGAAAAATTCTGTAAATGCGTGCAGTGAAATTCTCGAATATCCTGTGAGCAACACGTGCTCTATAAATGCCCGTAGAGCAAACATTTAGTTGCCACGAAGGCTCGGTTCCACAACTCGAGATAACCGATGTTTAACTCGAATTGTGGAACCGGGCCTAAGTGTGGTAGTTGGTGTCGTTGGCAGCTTGGAGTGTCAAAATATATGGATTCCAGAAATTTCTTGAGTTTTACTTCGATCTTTTTATAATCATTCATAGACATTTGGATACGGACTACTAGCCTAATGAAGAAAATGCGTATCGCAATTAACACTAAAACTACCAAGACCAGTAAAAATGACTGGTTTCAGATGGCCCATCCTATACAAAAAAAAAAACCGTCAGTAATTCTAGTGTTAAGAGGAGAAAGAAGAGTGTGGAGAGCAACCTTTCTCTTTCAATTGCAGGGTCGTCGCTTAAGGTGATGTGAAAGGGGGCATCTGAGAAGTTTTGTTTATGAAACCTTTGGTTAACAGGTTCTAATGAATCATGAAAAAAATGTCCCCCTTGAACACTGAAGTCCTAAAGGTGCTGACATTCATAATATTTCATTTTTCTAAATATTTTTATAAACAATTTTTTACTTTCTTAAATAAAAAAATTAAATGTTATGTATATGTCAAGACCTTTCTTAGAGCTTCCACATTCATGTGGTAAAATTTAAAACTATTCGGTACTATTCGGTATTCAAGAAAAGTTCCATGAACGATTTATCCCTCAGACGCAACTTTCACATCCCCGTAGGAATCGTGGACCTCGCGTATACGAATATTAAAAAAAATTATTTAACAATCTTTTACATCAATGTGGTACAAGAAAAATAATATTGAAGTAATATGAATATAAATTGTAAGAAATATAATGCAAAAACTCAATAAAGAATGTTATCCAATTACCTTCGAGAAAGAGAAAGGTTGCATACCGCGTACTTCCTTCTCTTTCTAATTGCGATACGCGTTTCCCCCATTGGATTAGTAGTCCATATTTATATGTAATCATACTATTGAAATGACACACAGAGTACTTCATTTCGTACAATTTTCAATATAGAGTGTAATAGACGTTCAACATAATTATGAACGTCGGTAACGTGACGCGCCAGCGTATGATGCCACTCGAGTAGCCAAAATGTCGTTACCGTCAAAAAGGGTAAAGATGGATTTTATTTTATCGACGTCGATTAAATTTCTCAACGCCTTCAATCACCTTAATATGCTGCTAAAATATCTATGTGAACTTAACACCCGATGTTTAAAACATTATTTTTTATATTATATGATCACGTGATTCTCCATCGTTTTTAGTTGTTTGTAGTGATCTTGTTTCGTTTGTAGCTTAAACAAAAAATAATACAGAAATTAAAAAAACTAGACAAACAACTGCAAACGGTGGAGAATCATGTGATCATGTACAAAAATAATGTTTTTACTGTACATTTTTCTTACTGTAAAAACGGGTTTAGGGGACCCACTTCCGATAACCTTGACATTGACACACGTTGTCAATGTCAAGGTTATCGGAGGTGGGTTCCCCGTGTCAATGTCGGCCTCTGAGTGACCTACTCAAGATTTTAGCCGTCGCTTGTTGTTTGTTAGAAAGTTTTTCACAAAATAATTTTGATGGGTGAACGTACAGTTTCTTAATTGAGTATACCTTGAACATACGACAATAAACCATGCACGAAATTTTGTGAATCCTGAAAGTCGAGTTCATTCGCAAAATGTACCAATATTATGGAGAAACATGCGAGATTTCTTAATTGAGTATACTTTTAAAGACCTTGAACATATGACAATAAACCATACACGTAATTTTGTGAATCCTGAAAGTTGAGTTCATTCGCAAAATTTACCAATATTATGGAGAAACATGCGAGGAAATATTCCTCGTTATGGTATTTGCGATCATCAGTTTACGCATTATCTTGCTAAATACTTATTTAAACGAAGATATCATTTCGGTGAATGTATTAAGTGAAGTATGACACGTCGAGAATTTTGATCGACGTCGGTAATAAGCATACTTCTAAATAAATAGTTGTCGATACAAATACGAACGTCGTATTTGTATCGACAACTTTTTCAAATTATATTGGGCATTGTACTAAACAGCATACTTCAAATGTTGTTTCCGTACAGTAATTATAAAGAAATTGAAGTGAAATTCTAGACATCCCCTGGATTCATGATTTTTAATGTCTCAGTTGACTACTGAATGCCGCCTTGCGCCATCTGTGATTTTAGCGTCAACTAAATTTTCTCTCCGAGACCTGGTGTTACCTTCGTTTTAGTATAAAAGCGCATAATACACTTTTTTTCGTCTTTATCTCGTTCAAATGCGTGTTTCTCTATTACTAGATTGTTCGAAATTGTTATACAATTGTCCCGGCACTTTCGTTTCTCATATCAGAGCCTTCAATAATAGTATATCAATCGAAATATGAGAGCTCTCCGCCATTTTGGTACTTGTCTAGGCTAACAAGGAAGGTACCTGAGGTGTCCTCCGATTTTGTTCATTTTTACATATGTTATAGAGGACTAAAATCTAAGGGACCCGTGCTTTTTTCTATCGGCAGATAAACACTTTTAGGGGGTGAAATCAGGCTTCAAAGTTGGCCGTGCAAGGGGGTGCCTGTTTGATTGACTGTTTCATATAGAAGCAGTCGACCGATTTTCATGAAAACTACATTCAAAATGTAGGGAATGAAGAATTATGCAACATGCATTTGGAATTTTTCGACAACATTCATTTTTAAGGGTTGAGCCACCCCTTTGAATACTTCTTTTACCCCTTACGCGAGCAGTAATTGTTCTATCCAAATGAAACTTTTTTTGTATTGTTCTGGTCTATAAATTAACCAAGTTTCATTTGGATAGAGCAATTACTGCTCGCGTAAGGGGTAAAAGGGGTTCAAAGGGGTGGCTCACCCCTTAAAAATGAATTTTTTCGAAAAATTCCAAATGCATGTTGCATAATTCTTCATTCCCTACATTTTGATGGTTGTTTCATGAAAATCGGTCGAGTGCTTCAATATGAAACAGCCAACTCACCCCCTTGCATGGTCAACTTTGAAGCCTGATTTCACCCCCTAAAAGTGTTTATTCGCCGATAAAAAAAACACGAGTCCCTTAGATTTTAGTCCTGTATAACATATTTAAAAATGAACAAAATCGGAGGGGGACACCTCAGGTGCCTTGTAAGTCAAACGTTTATTTTCCGAAAATCCAAATTTTGAAAATGTCAGGACAATTAGATGATCACAAGTATGTGTCAAAGTTGCAAACAGTGTGATCCAATACCCTTAAAAAGAAGTGTCTTATTCGAATTGACTGATTTGAGGGAAATTTCACTTTACCTTAAACGCTTCCTTTAAAATTATCAGTTCGATATATCCATTAGAACATAATTACATAATTAAATATAATAAAGTGAATTATAATTTGATATGGTGCAGTTAACAGATGGCCGCATTCTATTTATTGACTTTTTTTTTTTTACGTGGAGAAAATACCTACGCATACCCCCACCTATCTAGCTATTTCGTCGGCTCGCCTGTCTATCATTTATTGACCTAACCTAACCCAAATCAACTCAAACTAAATAATTCTAAAACAGTTGAGAATATTAACGTGTGTTTAACCTTATATATCGTATTTCTAATGTTTTGAATTATGTAATTTAAGTTAATTTGGGTTAGGTAAGATTGATAGTTCAAATTCGGTCGCCGCGAGGCAGCTGGTCAGCCAAACAAGCCCGAGTTGACCGTGCTGCCACGTAACGGCAAGCAGTGTTAACACTTATGACGTAGGCGCCGTTGCTGTACCGTGCCGTGAAAGTCACAATACCGCGATTTTAATGTCGAGCAACCCTATCCCAGTAACGTCGAGTGTTAGATTAAACGGGCGCCGGGCCTCAATAGAAACTTTATACTTTATGTAAAGAAATAAGGATTAATAAGAAATTCATTAGGAAACAGATATCTATTGTACTACACAAGAAAAGAACTCAATATTTATAAGTTTTGGGCTTTTTCGTGATTCGTGTACGTATTGTATCTAATAGGAAATTCTACAAGAACTCCGATAAGGACGGTCATGTCATTGGTTGTTTCTGACAGTTGTAAACTGCGCATCTTCTACAGCGCATGTCGTCACAACGTACAGCTAGCGCTCGTGGCAGAAATTCGCTCAAGTTTTATGCCAGGAAAATGTCCTTGTTTGACAGCTGTGCATGTTTGTATCCAATAATGTCGATTTTGGTCATGCAACGGCCGTTTCCAGGGATATGGGGTGAAGTTGACGGGGGTACAACTTTTTTTGTGTGGCCCCTGTTTTGTTTTTCATAGGGGGTTCTGTGTAACAGTGCCGTGAGCGTTGAACGAGCAACGGCACAGGTCATGTTGAGTTGTCATGACAGATTCGGGGGCTGCCAGTATGAATTTTTATTCATTATTTATATTTTCTCTGACAAATGGTTTAAATACTGGCTCTGCAGGGAAAGTTATGTTAAAAAAAAAAGTAGATCCACATTATGCTTCTACCTACAAAAAATACTGAAATCAAAGCACAAAGCCAAGTGCATACGTCGGGAAGTATCTGCTTCCTATATAATCTGGCATTAGTTTATCATTCTTTTTTCATTTACGAACTTTGATGCCTTCACTAGTTTTATGTTATTACTGCAAATTTCATTTAAATTTAATAATCATCATTTTTTATTATGTACAATATTAAATGATTTCTTATCGAGTACTACTTTAGAATTAAATTAATTAAAAATTAACCCTTTCGTTACGGGTGCCAACTAGTCGGCATCCGCGCGACGACCTGTGTGTACGGGGCGCGTGCTCCCGTTGAGTGGCGTCACTCCAGCGGAGTGGACTGCCGTTACGAAAGGGTTAAAGATAAAGAAATTTACCTTACAATTTTTTGGGTGCTAGCGTGAATGAAATTCTTGAAAAATGATTAAAAAAGGAAGTATAGGTTGTGCCGAAGTTCTGTTACCAAGATAATGAAACATAACTACTATGATCTTGAATTTAAGTCGTCATCTTTCGCAGGAATACCCTCAGGAAATCTCAATAACGACGGAAGAGTTTGATGGATTGCGAAAGGACGCCGCCCAAGAGGAGGTACCAGTATCGGCCCCCGTTTCGCAAGAGCCTCTCGTTCAGGAGACTTCTGAGATGAACATTCATAACGTCCATCCAACCGAGTCGTCGACGAGTGGTTTACCAATCATTGGAGATTCCTGTATGGTAACTTCAGAATTAATTTCCGAGATTCAGTTGACGGAGACCTCGAGCTTTGAGGTAAGTGACTCGAGCCAGGTTCAAGAGGCCATGTCCCAGGAAGCCGAATCCGCGAACCAGGTGGACGAGTCGACGGAGAAAACGATAGCGGGGGTACCTTGTTGCATAGTCGAAGAGCAGGCTGCACCCTCTGACCAGGACGAGCAAAACTGTCGAAGTATGCTTCATCCTGAGACGATGGATAACACCGTAGAGGAGAACATGGAGGTCGAGACACCCGTCGAGTCAGAGATCTACACGGCAGCCGACGACTCCCGGGTATTGGAAGTCACCAGGAGGGATGAGCCCTCGTCCCAAGGCGGAGTCGCCGAGATGGAAGTGGCCTCTGAGAACTTTTGCACCGAAACTAGTCAAGAAGTTCCGTCGCAATCGTACGAGGAGTTCGAGGCCTCGGTGACAAGCGATTCGGTCGAGGTACCCAGTCAGTCAGCAAACAAGTCGGAATCTTTGGGTCGGGAGGTGAGTCGGTCCGAGAACGACGAGGTTTTTGTCTCCGAGGAACAACCGACGGCACCGACCCAGTCTTTTGAAGATGCCAAGAGCAACAGGGCTAGCCAGTCCTACGATGTCTCCGAAGACGCCCGGACCAACGCGCCCACGCAGTCCTTCAACGAGATAATGCAGACCCAAGAAGGAAGGGCTGACGAGACCGCTGACGACCCCAGTTTTCCCACCCAGAGCTACGAGGTCGGTAAGGTGGAAGGTCTGTCCGAGAACATGGAGATTGATCCTGAGATCAGTCAGGAAGGTAATATACCCTCTCAGTCTAATGACATCGGGGCCGATGGTATAGGCACCTCTTCTGTATCTACTAACAACTCAGGTGCCAACGAGGACGAGACCGCAAGTTCCTCCTACGTCCCCGAAACTCCGGAAACGCAGGAACGCGATCAGGACCAGGAGAGCGCCATCAGCACTTCCTCTTACGAGATACCGCCCTGCGAGGAGCTTAACATCGCCTCCTCAAGTGTCATCCCCGACACCTCGGTCAGAGAGGAGCATACCAGCATCCACGACAATGGGGTACCCGAAATCCCAACTTCTTCGTACAACCTCAACCCCGATAGCAGTTCCACTCACGTAGACGCAGTGCCGACTTCCAGTTACGAGGATCACGTGATCGTGGAGCAGAACGTCTCCACGTCGTACGAGGTCCCCATTTCGATGCCTGGACTTGAAGAGTCGTCTTCGCAGAACTTTGTAACCGAGAGCTCGGATCACCGTAGAAACGAACCGACCAGTTACTACGGCCACCATCACCGAGAGGTTACGCCTAGTTACTACGAGTCGATTCACCGGGATTCGAATTCGCGGCTGGAGGCGTCTCCTCAGGAGGAAGTTACTCCCGGGTATTACGAGGCCAGCGGACGCGATGTCACCTCGGAGGCGAGTCAAAGCTATTTCGCGCCTGAGGAAGCCACCCCCAGCTTCTCCAGGAGAAGCGTCTCCCCAGGTTACTATGAGCCCAGACCTGAGACTGAGGCTAGCCAAAGTTACTACTCGGGTCGAGAGCTGGAACGCGCTGAGAGATCCTCCACATCTTCCTCTGGGAACATTGAGGCCTCCCAAAGCTTTTATCAGGAGACCGCGGACGACTCGCGACTCGGTCAGAGGGGCGAGGCCACTCCCACTTACTCTGAGAGATACCCCGTTGACTACACTCTCGCTAACTCCCCCATCGAGAGGCATGACCTCGTCGAGAGCTCGGTGCCCGCTCCCCAGGCCACTGAGAGGTAATACACCGCCCAATCGAGTGTAAATTAATGTCGGCCTTCTCCGAAGCTGAGAGGAGTGCCCTTGTGGTCCCTTTTTCTTCTTCTACTTCTTCGTCATCTGTACATACCGTGAGCAATTTCAGTTAGTAAGACTCGGTTGCGCCGATCCTGCTCGACGTTCGGGGACCTCTTTGACGTCTGGTTTGAACTGGCATTTCGGAGCGTTTGTGCTCTAGCGGCATCGAGATGAGAACCTCTTGACGTCAAAAGAAATCAGTGCAGCCGATCCTATATCGTTAGTCGATAAGCCTAAGGCTAGATTCTTATAATTTATATAATAATAGTATATTCGTATATGGATGCAATCCTTAATAGAAGAACCCTTTATATAAATTGTAGATTGTACACCGGGAGAGAAATCTGTGGTTTTATGTTGCGATATGATATACACCGCAAGTTTCGTGTTAAAGACTTCCTTTCGCCGGGATCCACGCCAATGACGATTCCGTCGGTCGCTATATTGTTTTAAGACTGCGTGCGAGTTCACGATTTAATTAGATAACGTCGAAAAAAAGAACTCTGGGTTAATTCGACGTTCTGGAAAGGACACTTGACCTGAAAGGAATCTTGCTGGATAACCGTGAATTAAATGTTCGATTCGTGCGATTACAGTGTATTTCTAGGTTCGAGCCTTTGAGTGACCTGGGTCGGCAATTAATCAATCTCGTCACATCGTGAATATTTTTTCACGAATGGTTCTTCGACGTGCTCATTTTGACGATGCGTCGATATAGGTGTAGCGAGTCCGAGATAGACGAGCGTGCATTCGATGAATATATTTCCTAAGAACGGAACGATTTGCTTAAAAAGAATTACCATTTGGATGCACTTGTACTGTCCCTGCTGTGAGCGAAACCTATTAATTGTAAGCCTTGAGGTCGGAAAGCATACGAGAGATCGAAGTAAGCTTGGAGAGACCCGTCCTCGGTAATTTACGCGATCCCTCGTCCTCCCGACTTCGACCGAATCTTCGTAGGGTGTTAAAATGGACAAATGGTAACTGGGATCGTTGGAAGCTAGGATTAATATTTACTTTGTAGGTTGTAGCGTAAAAAACCTCTGTGGGAAAAAAGATTAATAATAAAGAAGCCTATCGTTTTGAATTGCGCCATTGTGTAATCCGTGTGTCGCGAGGTGTAGTATAAGGAGGGGTAAATAGCAGTCGAGCGGATTCTAGAAAACGCGTCCTGTTTGAGAATTTGTCACGAGAATTCCCATGCGGTACGCCCGACGTGATTTGTCGTTAGTTTACCTGAAATGTCCTGTAAATATTTTGGAAGATTCGTTTCTGTATTGCCGGAGTATTCGGTATTCCTTCGATCATTGGATATCCGTTAATAGAAAATGTTGGAAACTGATCATTGTTGATTCTAAATCGTGTACGTTTTTCCAAAAATTTTTATCCAAATTTATGTAAAAATGACTACGACGAAACAACCCGTAGTACATATGTATACATACGGAAATGAGGGTTTGCCAAATTGTCAATGAGTAATCGTAAGACTTTCAATTAGCACAAAACCGCGGATACGCCGATTCTCTCAAGGCCCTTTGCGCGGCCTCAAGCTAGGACGGCTTTTTCTACGAAATCATTCGACATTAACATTATACATATATTCTTTTTATATAATAGAGCCATGTTACTATTCATATTAAGTATGTTTTTATTTTTCGTGGATTTCTCAAGGGCAAGGCTCGTCCGTGTTGCCTGCGATTTTTCGAGTTCCGTTACGAAAAGCAGCCTATCTTCTACATATTATTTAGATATGCGAAGGATATCGGCATCGATCGATTCGAAAGATCGACAAAATCTCGTTCGATTATTATAAATCATGAAATCTTACATTTTTTCGTGTATACTTTTGAGCTGCCTTAACAAGATTAATTTGTGTCCACTATTTTTCGTTTTTAGTCTTACTTTTGCTAGGACAGTAACTTTTATGATGGCAACACGGACAAATCGACTGCAATTAATGTATGTACATATTGTGTTAATAATGAGAGGAAGAAATCGCGGTTTACCTTGGCACCGAAAACTTTTATATCGATCTAAAATTAATTTTTAAGGATGGTAAAATAAACCACGGAGTTCTGCATTGTTCTGCTTGAAATATTCCCAAGAAACATATATGGCATAAGCATAATTATTTTTGAGAAAATATCGACTCTCGATTAGAATGTACTAAATCGATAGAATTTGTACTCGATGTTTTCATCATTACTAGCTTCACTTATTCATGTGTATGTTTCTGTGTTAAATTTTAAGCAGAATTGTTAGCAGTCTCCGCATATAAGACGAACGATGACGAAATCGTTGATACCCTATCGCTGTTTGCAAAATTATCTGTATGCGTTGATCTCCTCTCTGAAGTAAAGAGTTCGGCGACACCACTGCGTACCTACAAATCAAGAAATACATATTGCGTGATAAACTATTATTTTTTTTATTATTAATCATTTTGCAAATTTGTCGCGTGGGGAAAACTACCGATGAAACTCGACACATAACTTCCGGAAGTTGTAATTCATATGACATGGCGGAAATATAAAACATCGTTTATCGGTAGGATTGTATGGATGGTTTTTTTTTCATATTTTCAACACACACTAACAATATTACTTTTTAATTTCTACAGTGTGCACCACATACACCATTGTAACTATGAGGTAAAATAAATATACGACTATTTACGTAACAGATTAATATGTACAATGGACATACGTTTTTCGTTCTCTTTCTGATCTTTAGGATAGGCGATTTTAATAAACCTTATTCAACGGAAACGACGATGTTCAACAGTTCATTTCGGCCCTTGTTGTATACCTTTCCTTTCAACAATTAATTATAAATAACTAAGGCGATAACTGGTTAAACGATTTGAACAAAAACATTTCCAACAACTTGTGTTATGCTCAATAACAAGGTAAAAAATACACAACATATGAAGATCCTTTTTTATCAAACAGTTATTTAAAATAATCCTAAAATACAATAAATTATGTTATAGTTGTTACATGTGGTTACTTATATACAGTGAATGTACAATCTTTGCTAGAGGAACACAGTCTTTGAAATTTGTTTGTTCACTTGCGCCAATACTGTGCAAATTTATGTAGTTGCTCCACCAACGCTGCCATAACAGCTGTCACTGACAAGTCTAACAAATTCTGGACGTAATGCACAGCTTCTTCGTCACTTAAATCCAATCGCAGTTTGTCCTGTACTTTTTTAACCGCTTTGTCTGGCTCAAGAGCGATATCTGGTACACTTGCATCAACCATTAGGGAAAACAAATTTAGCATCAGGTTTGCGTGCCTTCGAAGATGTAAAAATGCTGTGTAACACTGTTTCCTGAATTCATGATAGTGTTCTGATCCTACTCCACCCATAGCTTCTACCATTTCCTTGCTTAATTTCATTGGCGGTGGCAAAGGCTTTGGATCTCTACCTAATATGTATCCAAAATCTATATGAAACAGTTTTCCTAAAAAAAGATTTATTTAATAAATTCGAATGTTCAGAAAGATATAAATCATTACACAGAAACAAAGACAAGCTAAAATTGATTGTGTTAGATTTGGAATTTGGTAGAATCTAATTTCTAAATTGATTTCTTAAAATACCGCTCAATAATATTTAAAATATATTAACGAAGATATTGGAAGGTAATATGTACCAGATGTTGTAAGTAGCAAATTATCCAAGTGCCTGTCCCCCACTCCCAGTACGTATGTAATTATGCAGTAACCGGCTGTAACAATGATTGTTGTATTATGGAAGGAAATTTCTTAGTACGTTAAGTATAATATATGAAACCTTACCGCAACTTCGTACATACGTATCCATAACATCTGGCGCTACTCCATAAGGTCCTGTTTCTAAAGGATGGTGCTTTCTAAAGAAACTTAGTATCGATCCTTCACTAGCTAAGACTTCTGCAACAGTAGTAGACTCTATAAACTGTAAAAATCCGTGTCGTGTACTAGTTGCAAGTACCCTATAACAAATAAATAATACATCATTACAAAATCTACTATAGATTAAAATCTTTTGTCATATCACAGAAAAATTAGTTTACCTATAAGGTGTAAGTTTTAAATCCAAGTTTTCTCGTCTCAACAACTTATCCATTAAAGCTATTGTTTGTAAAATGAGTTGATCTTGTCTAAGATCATCTCCGTGTTTAAATATTGCAATATACTCTGTATTTTCTGTTGTCAAAAATGTTAACTTAGATGGCATAAGAGCAGACTTGAATAGGCTAGCCCTGTTAAATAATGACAAAAATTAATAATTTATACGTAGATAAGTGTTTTCAATATTATGAAATATTGATCTTACTTTTCTGGAATGATACCCTTAATACAGATTTCCGGATCCAATGGAAATGGTATAGGTTCGAAATTGGAAAAGTTGATTTTAAACAAAGGATCAGGCTCTGCTAAAAGAGCTCTCAGTCTATCGGTTTTTCTTTTTCTGTTTCCACTCTCTCTAGCGACTGCTTTGACAAGTGATACTAACTGTTCAATGAAAAGTTTCTGTCTTTTAAGGAAAGCTCTTCTTTTTTGCCAAACAACATTTCCGTGCGACAGAGTTGTAGAGAACGTTGCCATTACCGTTAAATACATTTCTCGGATACGAGTGTCTTGCTTAGCAGTAATTGCAGGATCCACTTGATCTTCGCATTCGATTGAAAGATACCAATAAAAATAATTCGCTAATGTTGAATTCTGACAAGCCCGAGTTATCAGAAAGGATGCCAGATCCATCGGAATATCCTGGCTACACGATAATTGTCCAGCGACCAATTCGTTTGACTAGAAATAAATCTTGTTGAATCCAAATTACTTAAAAAAATTAATGTTAATCTTTAAAAAATTGTCGATTTAAAAAGTATTTACCATGGTTATTGGCATGGAAGACGATCGATCACTGCTCCTAACATCTTTTTCCAACCTTTCGTTTTTCTCATAATCTTTGAATAATATCTGATTGGAATTTTTTATACCTTCGAAATCCTCATATTTTAATGCCTGTACGAGTTGTAGCAAGTACAGCATAAGATCATCATCTGGAGCTTGATTGAGGCGACCAATAGCATATCTCCTCACAGCTGGATGAGTAAACGCAGGTCCCAGTAATTCCAAGGCATCTTCTGGATCTGGAGGAGCCCACAAGGATAACATTTCCAATGCTTGTCGTTCTTCTCCAGCAACTTTCCAATTGACACATTTAACAAATTTAGTCAGAGCTTTTTTTTGATTCGAAAGGTAAAATCGAAATTTCCAAATTAAGTCCTGTTCTTCAGTAGACAGGGCTGTGGTTGGAGGATAAGCTAAAATTGTATTTAAAGCATCACGAACACTTGACGTGGGTTTTAGTTCTCTAGTATTTCCACCACTGCGTAAACTACGAGCCAATTTGTGATGTTTTGCTTCAACCAGGTTTTCCTACAAAATATAATTCCTTTTTGCTTTAGATATTTCTTTTCATTAAAGTATTATTTTAACATTTAGGATAATGTTAATCAATATGAGTTTAAACTTGTATTCTTGTATGACTTCTGAATTAAAGTGACATGAATTAATTACTTATAAAAAACAGAAAATCAAAACTATAAATGATTTATTTGGATCATTACTTTTACATCTGACAGTATTGTCAATAAATTAAACAATTGCTGTACACACTAAGAATGCTGGAAATATATTACCAAATTATTTGACCAATTTAATTTTTACATTAAAATCAACATTTATACAACAAAATATTTCATACTTATTAGTTTCATATCATTTCTAAATTCAAAGTGCATCATTATTGTCAGTAATGTTGTTTAGTATATTCTGAAGGAAGTGAAAATACTCACCTGCAAAATTTCATAATCAGGAAGTGTAACCACGTCAGGTTGTGACCTATGCTGAACGACTTCATCTCCATCCTTTTCATAATACACGATTGAATACTAAATGAAAATCATATTTATATAGCCTATAATTACAATGCATTTAACTCAACTGTATAATTAATTATTTAATAGTTCTTACTGAAATACCATCCATTGTAACTTCTGGAAACTCTAGCATCAAATATAAGTACTCAGATGTCCTTTTCTCGCGTTCATTGATTAGTTCTATCTCTCGAAAAGTCAATCTGTCTAACCAGTCAACTTTATTCATCTGCCCATTCCTGTGTTTTTTAACAAGTTTAGATAAACGTTGCATTTGTTCCTTTCCATCATCTCTAGCTTTGCCTGGTGTAATTGTCGGGTTGTTTCCATCGGCTTCCACCCCAGGCCATACTCTTAAATCTAACATCCCCTGACGAAATACCCCATGTTTTCCAAAAAGTGATATCGTTGTTCCGCCCACTGATAGTTGTCTGCCTGGTCCTGCACAATCATACAGAGTCACGCAGAGTTGAGCATCGCGAGGTAAATCTGAATAAGATATCGGTAATGTGACCCACTGGTTCCAGCTATGTGTGAACAAATTCAATTGTAACATATGAGGTTATCATAATTATCACTACATAAAATATCTAATTACAACATATTTTGAATAATCTTACTTCCATCGTGAAGTGAAATGTTTATATGCCGTATATACTGGTAAGGCAAGCGGTCTGCCACCAGCCCATACTTGTAACGATGCAGCTAAGTCTCCACGACCATTACCAGCTCCATACAGACCGCTGTATTTGAGCATAGGATTGAGTAAGAATTTATCATACTCAGGTCGCTGTCTCTTGCCTTCTAAAGTTCCTCTGTAAAGTAATATCTCTTATTTTACATAAACATAACAATTGAGCCTAGTAATCCAAAAATACTAAGACTAATCCTGTTCATCATCTTCTTTTATTGTTTTGATATTTTTTATTTGACATTTTTTATATTTTATTGATTGATTGATAATACTCAATATCATACAAGTTTTTAATATTTTCATATCATCCTATTTAGTAAAACGAAAGTTGAAAAGTTTTATGTAAAAGATCTATTGAAGCATCACATATAGGTTACGATGTTATGATTGACACTTACATTTTTATCTGTATTCTTGTTTCAAGGGAGGAACTATAAACATAAAAAAACTTATCGTTAATATCTTCCATTGCGAGCACTTAAAATAACTCGGTTATGTTAATAATTTTCGCATCTCTTTAAACTAAACATCTGTAAAGAATTCAGAAGCCCGATGCAGAAACCCTTCGTACATATGTCGACGGATTTCGGCCCAAGCAGGCCCAAGTGTATGGGCCTAGTACCACAATTTCGACGCAGAGACGAGTTAGGACAAAGGATTCAGAACACTGATATACACTGGACTCCATCGATGGCTTGCACCTGGTTCGCACTGCCCTCTCCGGCCGCGCAGAGTACTAGCGGCGGGAGCAGCGCGGAATTCGAATCGCTCGAGGGGCAGAAAGGATTTCCTAAAGAAAATAAATATTTATAAACAAAAACAATTAATGAAAATTATTTTAGTATTACTGTGGAGCGTCC